ACAAAGAAAGTAAATGTTTTTTATTGCATGGTCTTTGTGGAGTCAGTGATGAAAAACCAAGGGCATGTAAACGCATGCTGATTAATCAATGGTTAATTCTTAAAATTTCGTCTTAAAAGATTTATTTAACGTGGTTGAGGCAGTCTGATGATTAATTGTATTCAATTCAATCTTAGAACACGTAACATTTTTAATGGTCATTGAAGTGGTATGAAAAGCTTCATCTTTACAGTGAAATAATAATCATAGAACAAGGCCTTTTCCTGTCTATAAATAAATTCTCAATGCCGCCACCTAGGTTTCACTTTCTGAATTTAATCGCTTCGCACAAAACTTTTTGGATTGCAATAGCCATCTTAATAGGCGCGCATTTATATTGAAGTAATGATTCGGGCCACAGCACAACGCTTTTCAACGCCTGTAAATGAAGCGTTCGTGATGCCATCACGCACCTTAACGGCACTTTCGTTTCACTTTCTCGTTCATCAGCGGGCGACGCGCGCTCGTGCGGCGTCGGCTGAATGGTGGATGCGGCGTGCGCACGCCGCGTACGGGGAGAAAGGTCCAACGCACCTCCGCACGCGCCACCTCGCGGCTGTGACTGCCGAGTCGAGAAGCGACATGGTTTTAACATCGATATTACGAACCCGATGTTTTTTAAACATCGATGTTGTCTATTCGATGTTTGTACGTGGATGATTTTTTTAAAGAAAAAAAACTCCATTCTAACAAAATTCTATAAAGGTTTTCAGATTTTCAAAAATTGTTTAGATCTTCCGCACGCTCACGCCGGCCAACGCACACGCACGCAGCCAACGCCGGCAATGCACGACCCCGACGCACCGCACCGCACCGCACCGCACCGCACCGCCTATGCGCGGTCGTGACCATCACGCAGGGATACAACATCGATGTTGAAGTTTTCAAAACATCGATGCTTTTATAAAGACCTCAATGGATTTAAACATCGATATTTTGAGGCCTATGTTTGTACACGGATACTGCTTTTTAAATAAAAAGCGCTATTATAACAAAATTCCGTAACAATTTTCAGATGTCAATACATTTTTTTTCAGACCAAAGTGACCAATGGAGAAAAATAAATAAAATATATTGTTCGTCAATAATAAAGCCTGTATTATATTTGAGAGATAATGAAGTTAATCAGTTTTTAATTATACTGATGATTTTTTTTAGTTTACTTTGTCAAATAAATCATAATTGAAAATAGAGAAACGAACTACTTTAAATTAATTAACCCCCGAGCGTGTATTCAATAATTACTTATCCGCTTTTAAAAACATCGATGTTTAATAACCTCGATGGTCTTGGGTCGAGGTCGAGGTCGAGGTTAACATCGATGTTTTAATTTAGAGCATCGCTGATGTACTCGATGTCGCATCTCCATTGTGAGGATCCGGGCGCCTCCCCGCCACCCCGCGCCGCGTCACGCCACGCCAACGTGTCGCTTCGAGTGAAGGGGGCTGCCGGAAGCGGGACGAGAGGGAATCCAAACGATACACCTTCATATCTTTATCAACAACTTTATTGTTGTTTAAAGTGAACAGCGTGTGATGGCTATTCAATATCGGATTATTATCTTTTCATTTTGGTTGTTTCATTTGGCTTTCTATTATAGCATTCGCCGTCATAAATCCAGGTTTTGAATTCATGTTTCTTAAAATCCTACGAAGTTTTTCAATTGAAGATTTTACAGGGAAACATCTTTCAGAAATAAACCATAACATTTAATCAACAAAAACTTACTATTGTAGTCCAGTGTAATCATTATAATAATTATTTTAAAATTCCCGATAACTGCATAAAATATGTCTGGTGTGCTGTAGTTAGAGCTTGTGCGTCTCCAATGTTGCGGACGTAGGGGCTGCTAGCGTCGTTCCCGTTGGTGTGTGTGTGATTTATCAAGGGAGGTGGCGGTGGTCAGGTGGCTCCCTTCTGGAAAGTGAAAACCGGCACTGACCTACACATCAGCTTGTGGGAATTATCCTCAACAGGCATCTCTTTCAATAGGGCACTGCCTCAACCGGGGAGAAACCCTAGGCTCCCACCTGGTCTCCCAATATGTAGTTTATTAGTAGTATTATTATTATTAGATTAGTGTGGAGCTTGTAAGGATAAGAAAGACTAAGGGATATCGCCCGCTCTCTATGGCCCAAATTGTTGTTACCCAAGAGTACCTCTGCATTCGCATGAAATTGATGAGAGAAGGACTAAGGAAAACTACCGATCAGAGCAGATGGTAGCTAGAATTCTGAAGACATGGCTGGATTCTATCTAGTTACATTTCTTGTATTAAAAATCGTCGAGACTCGAACCGTAGAACCTATCAGTTGATTAATTGAATAGTGTTTCCGGGCACATCAACTGCTAAGATTATTAGTCCTTAAGTTTAGTGCACTGTTTTTATAGCAGGAGGGTGCGGTGACCTTTCCGTGCGCGGCGAGATCCGGCGCCGCCCGACACGTCGGCTTGCGGGTTTTCCCCAACCAGGTTTCTCCCATCACCGACGCATCAGCACAGCCGAGACAAGCTATAAGATTCGACTGGTCTTCCGGGATGTGTGGTAGCTAATGACGAAAATTCTGTCACCGTCGGGATTCGAACGCTAGGACCTCCCGATCAGACACCATGCAGTGACATCGATTATTGAGGCCTGAGCCATTTAAGTCGATAGAACCGTCCGACGAGAGTCGTTACGAAGGCATCGACAATGCTGGCTCTGTGTAAATGCTGTCGATCTGTGCAACGGCGGGAGGTCACGGAGTAGGAGAGAATCGTTATGACAAAAATCATCATGTGATCAAATTACTCTCTGCAAGTGTGTATGGGGGGGGGGTAATTCAAGGGGCACAGTCCAAGTTACGTAACACATGGAAGAGTTTGGGACGATTTGCCAACATCTTGCAGAAAGACGAAATTATTTCGTAGGCCTTTTTCAAGACCCTCATTCCCTTGAGCGACGTCACTGGTCAATTGAAACGCCTCCGAGAACTCCCGCCATTGCCAGCATATCCTGTCACATCGTATCTACTAATCTAAAGAGATTCTTCTTTTATTGCTACAGACAAATCTTCTCTTTAAATCGTTGAAGGAAATAGATAGCTTAACATTACATGGAGGAAGTAATATGAAGCGTCGGAGTATCAAGTGACCAAAAAGAAACGACGAAAACAGATGGGGATAACGTCTAAACAAGAAATACATAAATTAAAGCTCTTTTAAAAATATATATTAGCGTCATCTCTAAAACTTGTGAGGAGTGACACGATGGGCCTTGGACTTGCGATTTCGTACCCATCGTAAACTCATACTTATCCACTACTGTGATGATTGCTTTACTTTCAAGAATACTGAAAGAGGATCTTGTACAAGACAAAACGCCAGCAAAGTACGGAAGTCGTTTATGAATTAAATACATATCAGAAATTAATATTGTGTACTCTTCATTATTCTCCAAATTTTCACACGTAACATTCTCTCGAGTCTTCCTCAATTGCGTATGAATGGATATTCCTGTATATGAAAAGAGGTAATACTAACGTATCCAATATAGAGTTCACTACTGTCAATTTTTTTCAGAATTATTACGGAAAAATGGATTCCTCATTGTAAGTTTTGATAGACGTTTGCCCTTTTCGTATTTTCCGCTTTAAGTCAATTTTCGTTGACTAACTTTTGTCATTTAAAGGCTTCTTATTGAAATAAGGTGGTTTTGATAATTTTTAATTACACTAATTTTTCGTTTCTCACGAGGATTGTATAAATGATTCTTTAATATACTCGCTCTCCAGAAGTGGGGTAGGCAAATGTTGATTTTGGCATATCGCGATTTAGCAATGCGATATATGTATCGAAAAACGCATATGCAATTACAAAAGTCTGGAACCAAGAAATTAAACTTAAGGGCATATATCTTTTCGTTCTTACAAATGCAACTACGTCATTAATATAAAACCATATTTAAAAAATTATACTAAACGTGAATAAGTATAAAAGAAAAAACCGGGGAAAACTGTTTTACTTGTAATTTAAATAAAATTAACTTGTTTTCACATATCTTCAAAAAATATGTTTTCGGACGCAACAACCACTTGTTACTTGCACTTCTCCTCCACACTGCAATACACAGTTTGATATAAAATAAATAAAATAATAAAAGTCACACAGTAAGTTTTTGATAAAGTTTACAAGCTACTAAGAAGCTGTACAGATAATTGTACTTTCTGATTTCCCCATGATGCAACGTCTCTTTTTAACGTTCCTTTATATTCGTTCATTCGTTCTTTCTGCACGAAAAGTTACTTTCGGAAAAAACATATTTGATTTACGAAAATGATATTTAGTTAACATCACAAGAAGAGTCCGTAAAGGAAAATTCGTATTTATTTCACTCGTTTAATATGTTTGGCCGCAGAAAAGAAAAGAAAACGTGTGTGGCTGCTTCTTCGTCTTCCCTCACAACATGTCAAACATTTAGCAACTTGGGATGCCGCTTTGTAAAACGAGGACTTCGTAAAACTGTTCAGAATTTTTTGATACTATACATTACATTTGCACGTAAAGTTATGTAAAGTAGTACATTTTACAATGGAGAAGGAATAACAGTAACAATAAAAAGACGTTGTTTACGTAATTTGTTACTGGAATTTTCCGGATAGAAATGTAATATAAAACTTACATTTGTTTGTTAAAGTACAATACAGTGAAGTAAAGAAGTTGATGACAGAAACAGTTCATACTTATGTTGCAGAAAAAGTTCATTTTTGCAGAAAACTGAGAAGTAACATATCGGTGACGCTTCTTTTCAAAATTTCCTGAGACCGTAATTACAACTAATTGCCGATGGAGCAATACGTGGTGTCAGCTGGCATGGCACAAAGAAATTGCCTGTAGAATCTGTAGTTGGGAATGTTCAGCAGTGCATATGTGCAAACAACTATTTCTCACGTCGCCTAAGCTACGAAGTTTGCCTCATTTGCTCAGCGAACTCTATTTGATTCACAGCGGTGGGCGCTGTGACACTGTTGGTACAGCGAACTCTCATTTGGTTCCAACTGGTTTTCACGTTTATCCTATAGCCAACCCTTTCATTAAAAACATTTCAGAAAATGAGCACGGAGTATGTTGACATTTGGGCTACTTAGAAGCTGTGCAGATAATTGTACTTGCTGATTTCCCCATGATGCAACATTTCTTTTAAACGTTTCTTTATAATAATTCATTCGTTCTTTCTTTCTGCCAGGAAAGTTACATTCGGAAAAAACATTCTTGATTTACGAAAATAATATTTAGTTAACATCGCAAGAAGAGACATCTTCATAAAACGTTCTTCAAAGGCAATCGAACAGAAATAATTGTTATTGTTATATAGATATACCGCATGAACGTAAATGGGGATAAAACACTTCATTGGTAAAATAACCTGATACACATGGCAACTTCACATCACACTGAAAGAGTATAGAGTGAAATGTAAATACACATAACTATTGAATAACATGAACAATATATTTCAATAAATAAAAATAATATATTTATGGAGTAAGTTAGTGTAACAACAAGACCGAGAATCAATCTGGTCCATAACATCTGGTCTTACCACAAGACTGAGTATCGATCTGGCCCATATGTTCTGAACCTTGCGGTGAGAATAAAACTATCCGTTGGTCCCATGGTTGCCATCATAAAAAGTGCATTTTAAGATACACATGCAATACATTATTATATTGTATCTGTAGTATAATTCCTCGTCTGTAATCTTAGTCTCTATGATTTTGACAAAATTTCATCCATGGATTCTGTGAATCACGCGCGAAACCACTCGCAAAGAAAACACAGATTCTGAGAATGAGTTGGGAACAGACGAGTTTCTCTGCAAAAGGTATAACAAGCAGGCGGATTGCGCGAAGTAGAGAAATAGGTGCAGTAGAGGAAGAGGTGGAGTAGAGGAATAGGTGGAGTAGAGGAATAGGTAATCTAGATTTAGATATTGGAGACTGTTCCTGGTTCGGTGGGTTAGCAGAGGCGGTCCGGCGAGTCCTTCTACGTGTGCTCGACCGGACCCGGCCTACCGACGACATAAAACCACATTCCACCTTCCGCTCGCTTACGTGCAACCCAAGCCCAGACCATGCTGATGTCCTCTTACACTGAAGCTCATAACAATCACCATTGAATTTGTGGCATTTTCCCTTCTTTACGGAACACTTCAAATTACTGATTTTCCCTGTACTTACAGATTTACACACAAATACTGCTGAAGGGCATTCTTTTAATGGAGTCAATGCTTTCCATTACGAATTCCGAAAGAATATATCAAAGGAGTCAAGACATTATTGCGTAAACAGTTAAGCGCACTGTCTTGATGAATGGATACGGAAGGACATGCTCATGTTACCAAGACCACTGATGCTTCTAAACACGTAAAGGAAACAATTTAATTTCAGTAACACCAAGAAATGACTTTACGTAAATATATTTTTGACATCATAAAACATTCGCTATTTATTGATAATATGCACCTAATGCACTCTCGTCAGAAAATATGAACTACTCGATAGTTGAATGCGCCAAAATGCAGATTTTGAGACATGTATGCAAAATTGAACTTACTAATAATTTTATGAAATTAATATTTTTATTTAAAATATCAAAGTCTCCTTTTCTTAATCTTGCAAACTTGAAACCACATCAACTTAACGATTAGAGTACAATACAAAAAAATCTGCGAGACACGAAGGTTCTAAATCCAACAAAGTTTCAGAATAAAAAAGCCAAACAGCTTCAGAATAAAAAAGCGCAACAAGGTATGAAAGATTGTTGAAGTCGCCTAATCAAAGTGCTCGACATGTTACTTTGCCGATGTATTACAGTTTTCATTTTCATAGATTACTTGCTTTTATCAATGTGGTCATTTGATTTTGGATGTGGTCATTTGATGTTCGGAAATTGAAGGAAGCCAAGCAAGGTATCTGGAGTAGGAACTCCAAAGAAACGATCTAATTAACTCTGTCTGTACAAGCAACGTCGAATTGCATAGTTATTTAATTACGACTCATCCCCATTTTATGTTTTCATTGGAGATCTCGTCATTTTTCAAGTGAAACAGTCATATACTGTAACTTTCAGAGAGAAGAAATAGGAAAGAAGTTTTCCTTGTTGCTCAGTCAAACGGAGTAGCGATCGACGCAACTGAAGGTGTGTTGCTTTCACTTGCGTAACTGTCGAAATTCGCGGCTGCCAGTGACACAAATGCTCGCGGCACTCCATCTTCGAACTACGCGAGACCTCAAGTGCATCTCGGATGACGAACTGCGTCTGTTGGCAACACTCTCGAGCATGTTAATGCAGATAGGGCCTGCTCAGCTGACCGCACCATCACAAAAGACCACGTCAATAGACAGATTTCTTAACGAACTGAAAGCGCGCTACGGATAGTGATAATGCATTTCTAAGAGAGATATTGCGCAGTGGCAAATAAAAAAAAATATACATACTGTAAGTTTGCAATCATGAACACCTTGTAATGTTATTTCCATTACGATCTCTCTGAAAGTACTATTTCATAATATTTCTTTAGCAACTGTTCGAAGTTATACAGCGATTAACATTTGCGTCAGACACACACACACACACACACACACACACACACATACACACAAACGTGTAATATGAATTTTCGATTGCTTTACTCAGACGTAGACGAAAACTACCGAAGTTACACAAGTTCAAATTCACTGAACACATGATACCCGTCTTCTTTAATAAAAGTGGTGGGCGCTTTCGATAAATCATGACTTTGAATAAAGTATGATATGATCGCTTCTCCCGTAATCCTCAATCTCCTGATCCGATTGGTCCGTAATACTGACAGAGAGCCTTCATAATCCTCGAGGAACAAACGGGGAACAGGAAGTGGCTCAAGTTATCCACAACTTTTCCCGCCCATATACTGCTGCAAGTAGCCAATACTTCGATGGAGACGTACGCCAGGCAATTGGACGAGCTAAGCTTTCCCTCTTACTCAACACACGACCCGCAATGCCAACACACACACACACACACTCTCTCCCTCTCCCTCCCTCTCCCTCCCTCTCCCTCCCTCCCTCTCCTCCTCCCTACTCCCTCCTCTCCCTCCTCTCGTCTCTCTCCCTTCTCTCTCCTCTCCTCTCTGCCTCTCTGTCCCTCTCTCTCCTCTCTCGTCCTCTCTCTCCCTCTCTCTCCCTCTCTCCCTCTCTCCCCTCCTTCTCCCTCTCTCTCCCTCTCCCTTCACCTCTCCTTTCCCCTCCCTCCCTTCCTCCCTCTCCTCCTCTCCTCCCTCTCCTCTCTCCTCTCTCCCTCTCTCTCCTCTCTCTCCTCTCTCTCCCTCTCTTCGTGGATCCGATCTTTCATGAAGCTTGGCGACTCTCTCGCTCTCTCTACTCTCTCTCCTTCTTTCCGCCCTCGTCTCTCCCTTCTTATTCCTCACCCTCTCTCCCTCTCTCTCCCCTCTCTCGCTCTTTCTCTCTCTCTCTCGCCAGTCTCTTCGGAGCTCTCTCGCATCTACTCCAGTCATCTCCGCGTCTCTCTCCTCTCCCTCCATCTCCTCTACCTCTCGCCTCCTCTCCCCCTCTCCGACTCTCTCCCTCCCTTCCCCCTCTTTCCCTTCTCTCTCTCAGATTCCCTCTCAATCACACTTTCCCCGCCGTCGGGTCAAGTTGACGAATGCGAGGTACGTGACTGAGAAAAGGTCTGTGTAGATTCAGTAGTCACAACACACGCACCACCACACACACAGAACGAAGAGCACCGCTCCCTACGCCTATTAGCACAGGAAGTGCAAGATAAAGCCTCGTGTCACAGGCCGAAGAGGAATTCTTTACAGTGTTCACTTCCAGCTCCTCACATGCTTTCTCATAGTATCCTGCTTCCCGCGATCGCTCTGTCCTTCACGTCCGCTCATCGCTCGCTTTCCAGGAGGCCCGGAAAACAAATGCCGCAAACCACGCCGACAGCAGGCCATGCCCCGCAAATGGGACGAAAGAACGAAATAAAAAAGTCATTCGATATCGTTCGGCATAACAAGTTACGTCACGGGACATCTTTGTGGAAACTCTCGGATCCTGTGTTGGTTTTAGACTGGATTCCAGGAGGAAGCAGCCACATTTACGAGCGTCGACTTTCTCTGGTGGATTCTCAGCTGTCTGGTTTGGCGCCGGTTTCTAGTACGCGACCCTGACGAAGGTAGCGTGCAAGTAGCGTCTACGACTGAGTAGTAAACACCGCCCTCTCGACAAATATTTTAGATGTTTGGAAGACTAAACAAATTAAAACATGTTTCCGTTTTCTCCTTCTAAAAATGCACACACATAGTTTCTCTGATTGAAGAGTGAATGGGGATATACTAATCACGTGTTAAAAATACGATGCATTTAAAATACGTATACAAACGCATTTTAAAGATCGAATCTTCCTACAATGTCAACACTAAATTTGCTTCAAAGTGTTGACGGAAATAAAAAATGCCTTCAATAAATTACTTCCATGAATGTGCTACACACAAATTTGAAAATAAAACTCGAGGCATCTAATCCTTTCTGTACACGGTAAGGCGATATTAGGATTTTGTTCTATTTAGAAGACACCATCGAAGTAAAACCCCATAAGTGTGATACTACGGCACAGGGATTTATTCCCAGGGTGCTATAAAAGACGAAGAAAAAAGAATTCGCATACTAATGTATAAGGGAAGGCCGAGATCGTTAGGGCAATAGTGCCATAGCTACCTTGGACCAGAAGGCCGCGGGTTCGAGTCCATCCTCGGGCATGGGATATTTGTATATGTCTATGTGTGTGACGTCCTTTCATCCCTCACCAATATCACCTCATCGTCCATACCCCTTGAGTTAACAACCTTGGGGCATAAAAATCGGAACTCAACTAAATCGCCCAGAAACCTGGCGATGCAGGATGCACGCGTGTTCAGAATTGGTCTATTCGCGGAAAAAAGAGGGAAAGGGCAGGTGTACACGCAACTTGCAATATACAACACTGCGACACACGTTACATTGAGCACGGAAATGACCTCTAAAATCCTTTTCATTATTCTATTATTCTAAAGAGACCCTAATTATGTTTCTTATACTGTCATGTACAATACGAGACCTTCATGAAGATTCTACTACATTCGTGGAGTGTATCTTCATTTCGTAGAACGAGTTGCCAGAAACGTTCATGCCGGAATCTAGTATAGAGCAAATTTTCTCTTCTAAAACAATACTTCAAAAAGTGTGGAAATTTCGCAAATATCCGTGAAGATACGAGATTGTTTTCATGCATTCGTGAGCTGATTCGTGTCTGACAGTTAATCGATTATTTTTAATAATTATGATCTTTTATTATTATAACTTAAGAATATGTAACCATCTTAAACCAAAGAAATAGGATTGTAAGAAGTTTGCGTACGAAATTCTTCCCTATATACGCGTAATGTTACACGTTGATCACCTGTCGCACATATTTTCCTTCTTGACACAATCTGCCTGCTTGTTACATAGAGACGTAAAACCTGCAACTGACTGCTAACACTGTTAATCAATAGTGAAACGTTACAAACTACCTGCACCTAAAACTAACGGTTAAGAAACTCGTCAGGGTGTTGAAGTAACTGATTTTCTAGAGAGGAAGGTAAATAATGGAGTGTAACGCAAATAAACGCAATTGTAAGGAATTATTTTCAATAAAGCATTTTGAACATGGTTTTCAATCATAACACGTGGGTTGATATCTGTGACAGAAATACAATAACATTGTGATAGCATTTTCAAAATTAAACTTTCATTATGATCTAGTCGTCAGGTCAGAGAAGAAACTCCTTTTGTATTTCTAATTAAGAATTTTCGGATGTTAAGTGTTATTGTCATTATTATATTCTCTAGAGTGAAATGAACTCTTTATTTGTAAAACAAGGTAAACATATCCATTTCCTTCATATACGTTTTTAAAATGTAAGTAAACATGAATGAAATTTTCCTCTGCATTATTTTCTGACGTTAGCTGATATACCTCTTCATAAGATTACTGCGAACTAGTTTCAAACTTACATATCACTTTCGACATAATTTATAGAGACAAATCTAATAGCCAAAAGTGTTCCTTCTGTTGTGTGTATCTTGTAAGAATATTTAATTAGTTTGAGTCAATGAGCTTAATTGAAATAGAACAATTACTGCAACTCATTCAAAATTATGTAAAAATTGCAAGCGAACATTACTTGCTGTTCTGGCCAATTGCGTTATGACGTCGTATTCTACCGTTTTCACTTCTACTAGTAACACGTGCTGTTTAGCACTACAATTAGAATAGTGATTTTACCATGTTTGAAAGAGTTTACACAACGTAAGTATTTCGTACAGTTCATTTACTTTTGCGTTTGCACAATGGCAATTTCGCTTTTATTGAATCTTGTTTGACAAAAAGTTGCAGGAACGTCAAAAGAAGTTCACAAAATTATGCCACACATTTGCAAAGGAGTTGTTGACAACTTCATTAGCGTCAATTTCGAATTATTCCACATTATTTTCAGTCTGTTCGAAAACCGTGATCGAAAACGTTTGCTATTCGGTTTCTTAGACAACTACTGATAACTATTTTCAAATTACAATTTTAAGGTAATACTTAGAGAAAGAAGCAATTACACAAGAACACACACACACACACGCCCACAAAAAACAACAAAAAACGTGAAAAACGTGAAGACTTGACACATGATTCTCCATATATGTCGACGCGACGAATCCGAAACCAGAATTGCGATTCCGCCTTCCGGATTTTATTTAAATCGCGAAAACCCACAGTGAAATTTACAATTTAAATCTCAGAAGGGTTTTCGCGAGAAAAAAAAACTGAGGGCGGTGGCGCAATTCTGGCTTTATATTCGGATTCGGATTCGGCGCGATGGCATACGTAGAGAAACATGAGTCAAGTCTTCGAGTGTGCCAAGTCTTTTTATTTTGTGTGCCTGTGTTACTAACCATCAAGATGAAATTTCTAATTTTAATTTTTGCTTCACTTGGAACGTTATGGGAAGTGAATTGATCGTTTACTTTTTCATTGTAACATTAGAAACTTTCCTCGAAAATATGAACACCTAATCCATCGAGACTAGGAGATGTGTGCAAACTGATAATAAAACATCTATTTGAATCAATAAATTAATAATAGATTATTAATGTAATTAAGCTACAACCGCAAACACACTGAACGTTTATAACGAATTGATATATAATATTAAATTAAAACGTTGGAGAAATCCCTTTGTATAAATTAAATTTTATACAATTTTCGGAAAGATATTTCGAAAGTACTCGATTCGAAAATTTGCACTCAGTTAGAAACGTCGCCTCGTCCAGAAACATCTTACTCCAACTGTCATGAACGACATCCTAGAACACAATAATTCTGAAGACGTATGTGATTTAAACATTTCATTTTATTGACAGAAATGTCTTCTACGGGAAAAATTAGAGGTTTTATTTGTGTAGAGTAGTTAGTTATATTATGTTTATTTTTTCAAATCTCCACTTTAATGGGAAAAATGGGGAGAAATGCTTTGACAGCTACTTACAAAATTAATTTAACAACCATATAGTTAGTTTCTAAATGCATTGTTTCAAAGAGTGGTGACGTCATGATTAAGTCGTTTATTTATTGATTAATTATTTATATTTACTCGTACAAAAACTGGCAGTTAAAAGTCCATAAAAGGATCTGGAAATTGTTTCTTTACTTGAAACTATTTCTAACTCACAAAAAATTGAATTTGAGTTTCTGAATAATGTGCACTATTATTATAGAAAATAATCATATTAGTGAGCTTGTCAATGTAAATATAAACATTCGCGTCATTTACTGCTAGTTTTTGTGATCGTAAAATATAAATAATTAATAGATAATAATAGATAATAGAAACCTTTTGTTTACGTCCCTACCTGTTCTATCAAAAGTTATTTGTAATGAAACTTGTTTATGATTGAGCAGTAAGTACACACAGCAATTTGTACTAGGATAATCCCGTAAGAAAAATACTAATAAAATTGAAATTGAAATTGAATGTATGATAAACACAACGAAGCCAAGATTCCATTAAATGTTTGAAGGAGAGACCCCGCGTGGCGAAGAGCGAGAAAGGCGCTTTTAACGGTTTCGCCCGCGCGCCCCGACCTTGGGCCGCATACTTACTTTTCACGGCCCATTTCTCCGTGGACTTGAGCCCGGCCACGTACTGGTGCACGGTCGCGTTGCAGGCGGCGCTCACGTTCTGCGGGACGGCCAGCACGGTGCCCAGGCGGTAGGGGTCGAAGGCGTGGAAGAAGTCGTCGAGGTCGGACACGTTGAAGGGCTGTGCGTCGTCCCAGGCGGAGGAGGGCAGGGCGGTCGCCGGAGCGGCCGCCGGGGCGTCGCCCGCGGGCCCGAAGGGCGGCCCGCCGCCCCCGCGCGCGCGCGAGATGTGAAGCAGCACGTCGTCGCCCACGGCGAACACGTTCTCGTCGGGGGCGTCAGTGGGCGGCGCGGCGTCGGAGCGGTTCAAGGCGCTGACGGGCAGCGAGCTCCCGGCGGCGGCGCGGGCGGGCGAGGCGGCGAGGGCCAGCGCCAAGGCGAGGGCGAGGGCCAGGGCGACGGCGTGGGCGAGGCCGCGGCGCGGCATGGTGGCGGCGCTGAACGACTGGGGGCGATGTGTGCGCGGGCGGTCCGCCGGTGGACAGGAGACCGGCGAGCTGGCGGGCGGAGACGGTACTGTTCTGGCGGCACACGGCGCGGCGAGACGAGGCGGACCGAGCCGGCGCTCCACTGCCCGGCCAGGAGCGGGGGGAGGTGGCAGGGCGCAGCGTTCGCCGGGAACAAAGTTTCACCTGCGGTCCGCGAAGGCGTCCGCGGGGTGGGGTGGGGGTTGGGGAGCGGGACTGGCGAGCGCCGAGGAAGATGCCAAGACAGGAGAAGGTGGAGAAAGGCACGAACATGGAGGATCAAGGAGGATTGAAGAAGGCAGAGAGAGGAAGAGACGAAGGCAGAAGAAAACGAAAAGACGGAAGTAAAGGACAAGAGGGCAAAGGAAGAAATGTAGGATGGGATGAACAAAGATGCGGGAACAGATGGAGAAGGAGAGAGGGAATGCATAAAGATGTAGGAGGATATAGTTAAGAGGAGGAAATTAAGGATTATAAAGGTAGACGGAGACGAATAGAGCAAGAAGCGAAAATGAAGGAGGAAGAGAGATACGGAGAAAGAGACAAAGATGTGCAAGAAGAACCGGAGTAATAAAAGACCGTAAACGGATAAAAGGAGAGAAAATGGCACAGATGGATGAAAAATCTGAAGCGGAAGGGAGTGAGGGTGGAGGAAGAGGTGCCAGAGTCCAGTGGGAAGGGGGGGGGGGCGGAGGCGCGGGCCTCAGAGCGCATGTGGCCCGGCCGCGTGGGCGCGAATCCCTCGCGGGCGCCGCCGGCGAGTCAGGGGTGGGGATGGCGCCTCCGTCAGCATCCGCCCCGGTTCCCCCTCCCTTCCCCTCCCCCTCCGCACACCACTGTTCCTTTCGTTTCGGCGCCGGCCCCGCTTCGCTCCTCGCAACGGTTACGCAACGCGAATTAATGATGCATGGTTACGTCCAGCTTTCTCCGGGGAAGAATGAAAATGCACTTTTCTCCGGCGGCGCGGCGCGCGGAGGCCGAAGAGCGCGGGGGCGAGGATTGTGTCTGGCCGTGCCTTATGTAAAGCCCTTTCCGTTATCACTCGTCGTTAGTTAAGCTGTTCAAACGCGAATTTCCCGGATAATGTAACATCTTGCCCGCCATTCGACAGCTTATCCACCACGGAGAGAACCGGCTGCTTTACAGGGAACGACGACCCAACGAAACGAAAGAGACGTAAAACGGTTCGCCGATTGGTGTCTCGACATTGCTTATCGTGTTGACACCTTCGATTACATAATTATTTAGTACTTATAAAGAATTTTCTTTAAGGGAAGTTAATGTAAATCATGGAGGAAAATATTCTCTATTTCTTCATATAGTGAGAACGAAGGGGCTATACCCTTGTTCTCAAAATGTTTTCGTAGTTCAATCAGTTTGCTCTTTTAATAAATAAAAAGATAAATATATTTTTTGGTAGTGAGGCTCTCCTTCCTACCTGACCACTATTAAAATATTAATCCATTACATAATAAATAGAAGGTCATTCAAAGAAAATACGTATCCTATTACGTTTCTCACAAGTGTAAAAATATTGAAAACACGAACTTAAGCGAATCAAAATTGAAGGGTTGCGGGCAACATAATGATAATCCACATTTTACATATACTTCCAAAATAAAGATGTGTTAGTTATTTCCCGAGATACAACCTTTATGACTAAATTGCTATACGGACGTGATCATAGTACTTCAGTAAGTGAATTGAAAACCAGAGTAGTATTCCGGAACTGATAGATCTCCACAATTTTTATTTTTCTTGTGGCTTATTAAAGTAAGGGTTAATGCGGTGTCTCGGTAAGAAGAATGAGGTAAGTATTAGCAGGAGTGCATTGATCTAATTAAAATTTCAGAGAATTGATTTAAAATGAAAATTGTAAATGGTTTAAATAAATAATATTATGTTTTAAAGACAGGTGGATGCTTAATAGATGTAGTCACTCACAGGAGTTTGAGAGAAGTTCCACAATTTTAAGACTGTATACCGACGTCGAACAGCAAATCCGTGCTAGGAAATTCAAACGTCATTGCGTTGGTGCCGTGGAGCTTTCTGTGGCAGAATTTCCAGAAGAATTCGTATTCCTCGTTAATAAGGCACGCTAGCCACAGCCGCCTTCTGCTTTTGAGGAAACAAGTCAGACGCTTTCGCTATTTACCTTATTGTTCTGTTACCAGTCAATTCGGCTGAAATTTTGAATATAATTGTGAGTACATTCACAAATGTATATTCCTAGATCGGGACCTTTTACGAGTTGAGAAGGTAACTGGATTTTCGACTGCAGATAAAACTGGCCGCCTGATGTTTCATTTGCATGAGATCAAATGCAGGATTGATAGTTTTAGTGATTCCGGGCACGTAATTAGTCCCCTAAGTTAGTGGATGTTTTTGATCCTTCCCTCGCTGTATAACGAGATCCGGCGCCGACCTACCGTCGGCTAGCGGGGTTTTCTCCAACCAGGTATCTCCTACCAGCGGGGCAATGCCCCAGCCGGGACGAGATCTAAGCTCCCCACCGGTCTCCCGACATGTGTGCAACTGCAGGAGAATGACGGAATATTACAAATGAAGCAAAAAGGTATTCGTGCAGGGGATGATTTAACAAGAAAGAATTATTTTACATTATTGTTTTATATTATGTAACATAAGAAATGATTTGTATACTATTTACAAATAATAATTCAAAATGAACAAGTTTGATAATATATTTATTCATAACAGTAGGAATAAATAAAAAAACTGAGAAATTGAAATGGGTAAAAATTATTCGAACACTGTGTTAGGCCATTTCTTTTATTTATGGCATTGCTATTAAATATTTCTTTGTCTTGATTATTAACGTAATGATCGGTCTCCAATCTTTTAGGCTCGCGATGAGAGGTGGTTGGATTGGGAGGTGACCCTCGGCCGCCTACAGTGAAAGTCCCAAACTAATAGATGGTGTAACAATGTATGGCGTGTTTGATATGGTTTTAAGTTATCTCCTTAAATACAGGATTAGATTACAGAAAATTGTTATATTAAATTTTGGGATATTATACAATACGTACAATAAAGAAGTAAGGTTTAAGTTCAATCGTCAGAATCGTGCATAAAAACTGTCTGTATATACCAATTATTTGAAACTGGACGCAATAATGCTAAAAGAATTTTCATGGTACATAATTTCATTTAATAACTCCGAAGACTGCCCTAACTGCACGCACATAGTCTCAAGACATCCTACAATCATTATAATGCTTGACTGAAGGAAATACCTTTTTTCTCCCGTTCTGTGTTCTTTTTTTCCAAAATTTCTTATTGAAATCTTAACAGAAACTTTCTTCATCAGTAAATCAAATTCATCCCCGGAATCTAAGGATCATGTCTTATAAAGATGGGCATATTTAATTTTTTTTCCTATTATTTACTTGATTAAATAAATATTTTCGTCTGCCATCATCTACAATCGTAAGGGTGGTGATCTCTGCATGTGCGTGTTGTGTTGAAATGACCGAAGTAGTAATATCTGCTGGAGTGGCTCAGAACAACAAATGTTGACGTTGCAATCTCTTTGGCTGGGAGGTCCTGGGGCTCGAGACTCGACGGTGACAGATTTTCGACACCAGATAGATAATTAAGTCAAATTCAGCTATCTGGAGGCAAATTCTAGTGAACAGTTTCTCTGATCGGCGGTTTTCTTTAGTTTCACCTAATAATACCAGGCGAATAATACAGAGAAGTACTGTAATAAAAGAGAAATGTTTCGTTCCTCACCATGGTCTCGCCATGGTGCACTACACTACTCCACTTGTAGGGAGACCATGGTCCTTCAGCGTCACCCCAGCCGCGACAAACTCTCCCTGCCCGGATGGTGTGACGCCGGAGGTGATATTCGGAGAGAAATTCCCTTAGACCCGTGTCTAAGTCGGCGCCAGATCTCACGCACTAGCCGCGGAGTAACACCCTCACCTCCAGAGATATAATATGTGACATATGGGACTAATGAATATAGTTGGTGCACCAGGAAGCACAAAATAAACAAGCAACCAAACGAACCGTAGAAGTAAAAATATTTATCTCGATATGGACCTCGGCGCGTCGATCGAATCCTCGAAACACCGATTCTCCAGACGTGAAACAGTGCCAGTCATTGTCGAAAAGAAGTAATTGTGTTCACGTTGAGCGTGACGTTGCTTTAACTCTGTTTGTGCGTAATTACACAAAAGACTTGATTTTATGCCTGATCACGTGTCTTAGATTTCTCATTATCCACTTCTGCGCTTTCTTCTCGCCGCCTGCATCAAAAATGCTCTCCTCCTGATCCCCAGCAGGAATGCCTCGCAAAAATGCCGATAAGCTCTCACGACCCTGGTTGAGCGCGCAGGCACAGTTTGGAATCTCTCTCTGTGGAGCTTTCATCCTTTTTTAATGCCTACTCTCTAGTGTTAGTAATCATCGCCCCATAAGGAAATCCTTTTCCTCAGTATTTCTGTTTCCACAAAGAAATTCTATTTTTCGCTTGTTTGTGAGGGAAAATACTTGAGGGAATGGAAACGTTGTAAGGTCGTGGGCACAGACTAACCTTGAAACTCACCTGTTTGTAAAAGTATTTTTGCTTCGATTATAGAAATCATTCGTTACTCACTGATCACCTGGATAATCCCGCTAGGAAATTTAAAATAAATAAGAATATATTTCTTCTGCATATTTCCCTTAAAAGTTCTTACTTATACCTTTCTTACAAAAATTACATCTATGGTAAGATTGTGAGGTTACCATGGGATGATTCTTCTTAGTCCAACTACATTCAAAATGCATGAATTAAGATTTTCATTTTGACACTATCTTCACATAATGAACATTGAAATGTTATATTAAAGTAATTGACTTTAACAGGAGATAATTAGGACGGGTGTAGTAAGTATTTTGAATGACGTACCGACTTACTAGTTTGTAGGTAGCTCAAGGCACCAGTAGATTT